GACTGAATTAAATCCCTCGACAATCATATTAAGACGTTGGTTCAATAAGGAGATTTCAGGTGGAAATATGAAAAGTCTCTCGATAGTGGAAATGAAAGACAATCTGCGGAACCGTCAATGACTTCTTTTACGTTTCAAAAAAATGAAAAATATTTCTCATTTTCTGCTTCTTTTATTCTGAATTTTCTCGAAAATAACATTTCATATATTAAACTTGGGAGATTTCAATACGCCTCTTCAGAATGATAGCTTCAAGATGGTCTCCGAGGTTAGGTTTTTTTTCTCTCTATCTAATGGCTCTTAGAATAGAATGAACCGATTTCATGAAGCATTGGTTCAGTTCTCAAGCATCGTCATGGAATGAATCAGTGACCATTTGAAAGAGGATTTATCTAAGGTTTGAACGGCTGCCACAGGGGTGCTGTGATTGAGTTGTATCTCTGGCAACGTGCAATTGTTTGTTTACTCCCGGAATAGCGAGTCCTCTGCAAAAGGCGTTCTGCGTCATCGAGTTCGCAAAAACAAATACGATTGTCACGGTGCTGCATGCTTTTCGAAGACAATTCGACATTAATCCACCCTTTCCTAAGAACATACGACGTTGGTTTAAACAGTTTCAACAGAGTGGGTGTCTGTGTAAAGGAAAAAGTCCGGGACGACCACGAGTTTCGGAGGAACGAGTGACGAGAATCTGTGCTGCGTTTGAGGCGAGTCCACAAAAGTCCACAATTCGAGCTAGCCGTGAGCTTGTGATTTTTCAATCCACTATCTGGCGTATGCAAAGAAGACGTCTACATTTGAAACCTTACAGACTACGCCTAGTCCAGGCACTTACCAAGACCTTTCTCTTTCTGCTTGGCCTGAGAGATCCCCAGACTTCACCGTATGTGATTTTTTCATGTGGGGATGCGTAAAAGACCGCGTTTATGTTCCATCTCTACACATTTACCTCGATGACCTTAAACATCGAATATCAAGAGCGATCAACCCCAGTGGATCGTGATATGCTGATACGGCTCTGGGAGGAATTCTCTTATCGCATTGATGTTGCCCATTATGCAGGTGGTGGCCACATTGAACACTTGTAAGGTAGGAAATAAAAGTTGATTGTGAATAGAATACTTGTGACTTAGCTGCAGTTTTCTATTGCTTTTCCTCATTAAAATATTGCGTAATGAAATCGGTTTATTCTTTTTAAATAACCTTGTATAAAAACAAAGGTAAATTTATGGAAAAATTACTTGCTCGCTTCAAAGCCGCCCTATCAGCGGCATTTTAGCTATCTCCCGCGGAGGGCTCTTGATTGGCCCTTCGGCTTCTTGAGGAGTTTGAGTGTCCCTAAAATGTTGGCATATTCTCAAAATCGAAAGCTTTCCCGGATGCCATTTGATCTAGGTTATCATTTGCACCTGACTTTCTTTTCCTCGCTGCAACCTTGGCTCTTTTGATTGCAATCTGGTCTTCTGTTGCTGGAGATTTCTTTTTGCGAAGCATACTGCTACCGTATGCGACAGGCAACAATAAATTACAGAACTCAAAATTGATCGCATTAATATTTAAGCTTACCTTTTAAAAGTTAAACGACAAATATTTTACCGCCACTTAATTTAAAGATAATTTGATGTATGTAGGTCCTTACTTTCCGTGCAAAAAATTATTTTTATTTCATGATTGACTTTCGCTGGATTTCGCAATTAATTTTGATTATTCCCAAATTTATTTCTATGGTATAAAAATTCGTCACAAAAATAGCATAAAAAATTGCCGAAAACAATGTCTTGACTTGTGACTTGGCTGCAGTTTTCTATTGGTTTAACTTATTAAAATATTGCTTAATGAAATCAGTTCATTCTTTTTTAATAAACCTGTAATTTTCGAACTTAATTCAAATATGCATTAACTTGATTTACTAATCTGAATTGTCTGGTTTGGTTTCTGTCCTGTCGATATTTCTGAGATGAGGTATTGTAATTATTTAAATTATTTACATTGTTCGGGCTGTTTTCCTCATATACACGACGTTTCAGCCGTTGTACAGTCCGGCCTTCTTCAGGTGATTGGAATTTCGAACTGAACCCGGTGGACAAAAGCGTTAGTCGGTTCCAGTGAACAGACCCAAAGAGTTGTGAGTTCAATACCTGGCTACTTCAGTGGTGAATAAAAACTTCGACAGTTGAGGTAAAGGGAGACAACTGAGACTTAAGGAAGATGCATGGCACGTGGAACTAGAACAATCTACCCCGGTGGATGAAAAAAATAGCTCAGTACGAAATTCCAGTCACCTGAAGAAGCTCGGAGCGTACAACGGTTGAAACGTCATGAATATGGCATTAAAGATGAGGACAACAGTCCGAACAGTGTAAATTGGTTTGGCTTCTTTTCTTTTACGGCATATCAACCTCAACAGGTTATTTAATGCCAACAAGATTTTTAGTATAGGTTCGTATGAATAAAATATGTATTCTTTGTAAGAAATCCGTTTAGTTTCCTCTTGTTTCACGGCATATGAACTTCAAGGGGTTATTTAATACCGACAAGATTTTTAGGATAGGTTCGTATGAAGAAATATGTATTCTTTGTAAAAAATCAGTTTGGTTTTATTTTGTTTTACGGCATATCAACACCTCAATTGGTTATTTAATGCCAAAAAGATATTTAGGATAGGTTCGTATGAATAGAATATGTATTCTTTGTAAGAAATCAGGTTGTAGATCATTGACGTATTTTTTCTAAAGAGGGTTTTTGTCGGGAGTTAAATGCATTACTGTTAATTATTTTTCAAAAATGTTACTTTACTATGAAAATCTTCTTTTTTATACTTTCATAGTGATTTGACCCCAGTTTATGGCGTTATCTATTTGCCCATAGCTGGGACCCTAACAGGTGCTACCACCCAGAATCAGGGTGAACTTGGGAACAACACCAATTAAGAAGTGATTTCATGCTCCCCAAAACCTCCCGATTTGAATCATCGCAAACAATGTTTGAATGACAACCTCAGTATTTTTATTTACAATGACGTTCACTCGGCACAAGGCCCAAGAGCCACTCGAGATAGAGGGTTACATTGTAAGAAGCGCCGTTTATGGAGATATGTGGAAAAGATAACGGGTGACCTTAGACTTGAACAGGATAAGATATGGTGATTCGCCCTTTCTAACCTTTCTAACTTTCTCTCCTGGCATAAGTTTCCTCACATGTTTCACGTATTATTTCATTTTCAAGTCTTTTTTCACTGCTCTTTGGACTCTCATAGCCGAAACCCTTCACTCACGTGCCAAACGTCTTATAGATTGAGTTGGATCTTTTCTAATTGATCTCTTTAGCTCTAAGTTTAAATGGTAATCCCTCTTTCCGTTGTGACCTCCTGATCCAGTTTTCCTGTCTAATGTTTCATCTTTTTGAAAACTTATTCACCGTTCTCTTGATGGTTCTTGAAGATGGAAGCCAGAGTATGAATGTTGTTACCATTACTGAAGGCCTAGATGATCTTTTTTCTCTCACCATTGCTCAGTTCGGAAGAGAGTGGGGCCAAGAAATTTTAACCTGTTCTCTTTCTAGCTGAATAACACAAAGGGTTTTTCGATGACTCTTACGACCAATGGTATCAAGATGGCTAAACGTCTTATCTGAAAAACTGGATAAAAGAAAATCAATTAGTTTAGTGAGTTTTTAGATATTAAACATTTTTGTGGGATGGACAATTATGCTGTTACACGATGTTACAAGAACAAGGATAAGAAAAAAGAATTACTCACCGGTTATCCTCTTCGGGGTCAATTAAGTATGAAAAAATTATAAATATGTGCACGACGACGAATAAAAGAGAAGAACAAATTCAATTAGTGAACCGACAGTATAAATCACAAGTAGCCATTCCTTCTGGTTAGAAAGCTGCTTGGACTCTATATAAATGGTGATAAGATTATTTATTAAGTTTTCTGCAATCGCCAAACCGAGAGCATTTACAGTCGTATGCAAATGTTCAATCCTAGTCTCTAACGTTTGATTAGTTCTGCCAATATAGTCAGCATCACGCGGATATTTGTAATTATAGATCACGGCAAAATATGCTGGGTTGGGCAGGACATCTTCATGAATGAATTTCAGCATTGGTTGAGAAGTGAAAACAGAACGTGGATCGGTAGAAAAAAATCTGCATTGTATATCTGCACACATTGTATAAAATCTGCAGACATTGTATAATATCTGCACACATTGTATATAATCTGCAGACATTGTATAAAATCTACACACATTGTATAAAATCTGCATGATTTGTATAAAATCTACATGATTTGTATAAAATCTGCACTCATTGCATAAAAATTGCGGTATTCATCTCGCATTCCAACATAGGTCTATGCCTTCTTTGAAGATTGTGATGGTCATTGTGTAGAAAAAACATTTCTTAATAAAAAAAATAAAAATAAAATAAAAAAGTGTAATGGTTGCAATGCAGTGTCCGTACCAACCAAGATCAGGATATTAGTCCTAACAAATCAACGTATAATGATAATTCGTCATCTCTAAAGTTACCCACCAAAAACTGACATAAAAATCACGCCAAAAATGTTTTCCGTCTCGTAAAGTGCGACACTGAAATCCGAAGGTGTATAAGAATAGCGACAGATGCCTTCCAAAAGCTAAACAAAGTATTAAGAAACAGAAAAAAGAAATTCACTAGAAAGATAGACAAGAGCGCTTAACTTGTTACTGTCGCCCTATACGGCAGTAAATGCTGTACAATCTACGAAAAGATGAAGAAGAGACTTGAGGCAACAGAAACGTGATTCTACAGAAATATGCTGAAAATACCATGGAAGTAACATGTGAGCAACGACGAAGTTATAAATAAAATGGAAACAGAAAGGAAACTTACAATTAAAATCAGAAAGAGAGAGTTGAAATTTCATGGACACATATTGAGGAAAGAGAGCTTGGAAAATTTGATACTCACAGGGCGGATTAAACGGACAAAGAAAAACAACTCATAGCCTACCTAAAAAGTTTGAGTAAAAGGATGGCGAAACAATGTTTAGAAGAGATATCAAAAAAACAAAATTTATTAAGAGACAAAAAGGACTGGAAATGGTGGAGATCCATGATCGCAAACGGCCTGAAGGTAGGCGGCACATAGAAACTCCTTAACTATAATTCCGACTAAAAAAAAAATTAAATGCAATAAAAAACACTATAAAATTGTCAATTTTTTTTTCCATTGGTCGAAATGCAGAGTTGTGGCCATATTTTTTTTTTTTGTTATTCTGTGACAAATTAGCGATGTTGTTACTCGTTGCATTTTAAGTGCACGATGAGCAAGTGCATGTTTTCTTTGCATTTAAATGCATCGGATCGGTGTCTTCAAGTTTTGCCATGCATATCGGCTTGCTTTTATTGGTACGTCTACCAATGTATTAGTGTCAATGTATCTCTCTCTCTCTCTCTCTCTCTCTCTCTCTCTCTCTCTGTATGTGTGTGCGTGTGTGTGTGTGTATCGCTATATATATACATATATATATATTTGTGTATTTAGGCAGCAAATTCTCTTTTAGGCATATCTGATTAAATAAATTACAGACATTATGTCTGCTTATTTTTAACATAATCCGTTAATACTCACGAATAACTTTCTGTGTATTACAATTAAATAATGTGAGAAATGTGGTATAATTGAAAATCGCTTTTATTTATCAAGTACTTTCGATATTCTTCCGAGATCATCTTCAGTGTTGTTCAGGGGTGCAAGTAGCGGATTCTATTCAGTGTCGGCTTTAATTTTTTGATGTAGATTGCTTCGAGGATCTGTAGTTTGAATTTGTTATTTTCTTGGTGTAGAATAGGTGTGTATTTTTATACTGTGAATGTGGACAGGAATGTTGGTGTAGATGTCTCGCAATGGACGAATATATATCAGTCGGTTCATATCTACCTATCATTCTGTATGCATATCTATCCCAGTTTGTTCATATCTACAAATCATTCTGTATGCTAGCATATATATATATATATATAGATAGATAGATAGATAGATAGATAGATAGATAGAAAGAAAAAGAAACTGTAAGATATATAATCCGGTGTTCTTATTGATATTTTTTTTTATTTTTACAAAACAGTGCTCAATGTAAATTTACAGAGCATGAATATTATGAATTAACTGATTTAAAATATGGTTTCTTCGCTGCACAGTAATAACTATGTTTCAAAAACTGAAGCTAAAAACTTCAAATTTAGTTATGTAATTGAATTAAAATCATTAGTTCTGTTTCATCTTCAAGTGAATTTTGGAATATATACATGTTATCTGTCGGAAGGAGTTGATCCCAGGCTACAACACATTTGATAACCAATTGACCCAAGCCTTGTGAGGGCTTCAGTGTTCAGACTGTTCAGATAAAGCGCTCTCGCCCAGAAACAGACTGAGGCCCACAGTATAAACCACAGGTGGCCTCTGTTGGTATTTAATAAACCTGCCTGAACAGACGTCTGAAACGAGGATTAGCTAGCCGCTCTAGTACACGGGCAACCACGGACCACCACCATATATATATATATATATATATATATATATATATATATATATATATATATATATATAGCTAGCAGTATTTTATTACCATCAACACGTGCTCTATTGTTTTTATATATATATATATATATATATATATATATATATATATACCAGTATATTCATATCACCATATCGTTCTGTTTGTTTGTACATTTTCATCTGTCAATATATTTGTCTAACCTAGCATTTTCATATCTCTCTCTCTTTCTTTCTCTCTTTCTTTCTCTTTCTCTCTCTCTCTCTCTCTATATATATATATATATATATACAGACAGACTGTGTAGCTGTATGACATCTCATCAAACGGATCGAAAGTTTTGAATTGGCATCAGTCAGAGACACTACCCCTAAGCTATCGGCGTACAGCAGAGAAAAGGAATCTTTTAACATATTATATACGTGATGTATATAAACGCTAGACTAGCAGCCTGGGCGCTTAATTCTGACGAAGAGCTGTGCCTTAAGCAAGAGCAGCTGCTGTTAAAAATTCTTTATCTCTATAGTGCTCAATCGGCGTACGAGGGCAGTTTATACATATTTATCTATCTCTGCCTTTTCATTATTTGTCTGTCCGTATGTCGCAGTTTAGTCGTTTATTAGGTAGCTTATATCATATCTATCTTATTATCTCATAGTTATGATGCAAGAAATATCAACACGGATAATCCATTAATCTAGGTCTTTGGAGAATAAAAAACAACCGGCAGTGTCACGTTGCATTTAAGCGTGGAGACTTGCACTAAAAATGGTAATATCCAAAACCTTCGATTTGTGGAGCTTCTGGTGTTTTTGTAAATTGTTTATTTATGACTATATATAATTAATTCAGTTAACTTAGCACCAAAGTTGCTGATTATATCAATACTTATTCGTCTTTTATTTGCCGTGTCCATTCGGGACGTGGGCATCATGGCTCTCCACAATTTCCTGTCCTTTGAAACTATTTACAAAATTTTGTCTTTTCGATATCTTTCTTAATCCATGTCCTGAAACAATTTACTCAAGCTAATTCTTATTCTATATGCTGTTTTTCCTCAGAAAGTTAGCGATCATGTATCTCCACAATTTCCTGTCCTTTGCAGCTCTTTACAAAATTTTGTCTTTTCACTAACTTAATCTGAGTTCTGCCAACAATTTACACAAGATAATTCTTCTTCTGTATTCTGTATCTCCTCGGGAAGTTGGCAGTCAAGGCTCTCCACAATTTCCTTTTTGTCTTTTCGCTATCTCTCTTAGTTGCTGCTCTTATACAAGCTTATTCGCAAGATTATGCGCGGCTTTCTTCTTGCCTTCAATAAGTCTTGTGAGTATCACATTTTCCATTTATATATATATATATATATATATATATATATATATATATATATATATATATATATATAGCATGTAGAGATTTTAACTTAAAAAAAATCAGGAGGCCAATTAAGATACGTGACGATGGTTTCGATTAAGAAACAGAAAAAAAAATTCACTAGAAAGATAGACAAGAGTACTTAACTTGTTACTGTCGCCCTATACGGCAGTAAATGCTGTACAATCTACGAAAAGATGAAGAAGAGACTTGAGGCAACAGAAACGTGATTCTACAGAAATATGCTGAAAATACCATGGAAGTAACATGTGAGCAACGACGAAGTTATAAATAAAATGGAAACAGAAAGGAAACTTACAATTAAAATCAGAAAGAGAGAGTTGAAATTTCATGGACACATATTGAGGAAAGAGAGCTTGGAAAATTTGATACTCACAGGGCGGATTAAACGGACAATGAAAAACAACTCATAGCCTACCTAAAAAAGTTTGAGTAAAAGGATGGCGGAAACAATGTTTAGAAGAGATATCAAAAAAACAAAAATTTATTAAAGAGACAAAAAAGGACTGGAAATGGTGGAGATCCATGATCGCAAACGGCCTGAAAAAATTCGGATTACCAACACACAAACAGAGAATGTCTCATATCGAGAATATTTCACATTGAACATGAAGAAAAATTAATTATTTTTAATAATATGTAGAAATCTCCACTTTTACCTGAAGACGGTCGCGAGACCAGAAACACGTGTCTTAAAATTATGTAAAACAAAGCATAATATTTTTCTAAATAAATCCACATTACAACCAAAAACGTTTGCGGCACCTCTCTTCTTTTAATATACATACTTTTCTCTCGTTGGAACCACTACTACATATTTTTTTTTCTATATATATATATATATATATATATATATATATATATATATATATATATATATATATATATATATATATATATGAAAAAATATACAGAAGAAACAAACAAAAATCTTAATATGCAATTCTGTATATTTTTCTTCATACTGTCGGATCTATATCCATATATTTGCTTACATATATATATATATATATATATATATATATATATATATATATATATATATGAAAATTTCTCCGATTTAACCAGTAGAGAAGACAATATTTATGAATAAAAAAATGACAATAGGGAAAACTGGTAATTGCTGACGCGTTTCGTCCAATGTGGACTTTATCAAAGCAAAATACGAAAATGAAATTAATTGAATAAAGTAACTAATAAAAACAAAAACAGAATGTACCTAGCAACTGGAATGTAGAGAAACGCTATTTTCATATTTTTAAAATCAAAAGAAAATGGTTGAATACATCAACCCAGATATAATGACAATATTCTCCACACGTGACAAATACTGACGTTATTTTCAGTTAAATATATTTAATTTCATTTTCGTATTTTGCTTTGATAAAGTCCACATTGGACGAAACGTGTCAGCAATTAACTGTTTCTATTGTCATTTTATTCATATATATATATATATATATATATATATATATATATATATATATATATATATATATATATATATATTGTGTATGTTTAGGCAGTAATTTTTCATTAATGGATGTTTCATTAAATAATATAAACAAGTTTTGTTTATTTATTTTAAGTAAGTTCCTTTCATATTGTCTGATAAGCTTAATAACATTATCATTGAAAGACGAAAGAAAATCACCATATTGTTACGTTTTTTTTAATCCTATCTAAGCTTTCAGCTTACGTAAGCCATTATCAAAGATGACAATTACATTTCAATATATCAAACAATACTTATCTATATTATTTAATGAAACATGCTTCAATGAAAAATTTCTGCCTAAATACACACACACAATATATATATATATATATATATATATATATATATGATAAATTATAGTTTTAAGGTATATTATATTTATGGGTTAAAGTGCTCACTATCAGGTATGGATCGTATGTAAAATATTAAAGTGGACAGTGAAGTCAACACCCATCCAGAAGCTTAAACGGCCATATTTAGTTTTTTTGTAATTTTTCAGTCCGTTGACAGAAAGTTTCAATATTTGGTACATAAATTACAATTAAAAATATAGGCATGAATAGATTATTCATGTCTTCCATGATTTCTTCGACGAAGCATGTAAAGAAAGGCATGAACACAGGTGATTGGGCATCTTAATGCATGTCTGCGCATGCGTGAGCAGAACTGTGGATACTGATGTTTGCTTGTGGAGGTATTGCAAACTGCATCTGTTGTTTGAGCTTATAAGGTCGATATGCGACAAATAATGCATGTGTGTCTGTTAACTGGGGAAATTAACGAATTTGCAAATGTGGCTGATGTTTGAATTTGTGAAAAACAAAAGAACCAGTGACTGCAAGATTCCGTTTGAGAAGGTTTTAATTTTAAAAGGAATTGGTTCGTTGTGTGTATTATGAAGAATCATGGCTGACATTTTTTTTGTTTGTTTGTTTGTTTGTTTTTTTTGTTTTTATTTTGTTTGTTTTTTTGAAGGATTGACTGAAAGACGTTTCATTCAGTTTGTGACTATTCAAAATGCATTCGAATGTTTATCTTCAGTGATCTTTGCATGGACGAGAGTGAAGTTTAACAAGAATACTACTTTGCCAAGTGTTTTGGAGCCGTATGAAAGAAATTATCTGCAAGAAACATTTTACTCGAATTGTTTTTTTTTTATTTTATTTTATTTTATTTATTAAATTTTTCTTTACTCTACCACTTGGGAACGGTTGAAGTGATATCTCTCAAAAATTATTTGTTTCTGGATAGGTTTACAAGATATATCGCGAGAAATGTCTTTTTGTGTATGATCAACTGACGTCATATCTGGTGAGAAATATTTTGGTTCCCAGAATAGCAGACGTGATATTTAAAAAAAAAAATTCTCCACCTTCGGCAAATTGCAAAACTCACGTGATTTAAGTATATAAGTCATTGTCTCCTTTGTTCAGTCCGACATACCTCAACTTGTGGCCAGGCTGCTAGAGGACGGATTTTTTTTTTTTTTATTAGCAAGTCAGCATCTCTAGAGAGATTGCTAAGCAAGGCTTAAGAGCTTCTATCTGCTAATTATCACAAACGTTTTCCGAGCAGTTTATCCTACTAAATTTCGCTTACAAGGCTTGGGTATGTTTTTTAAGTCCAACAGTACCATACGCTGGGATCGTTTCCCAAATCAATGGCTTGACTAACCGAAGATGGCGTCATTCGAAACAAGTTTCATAGTAGGAACGCTATCGTCCCTACCATTCAACTAGGCACCTATAGCCCCTTGACTTACCTACCTTGGTGAGATCCGAAACACCAGTCTCATGAACAGAAGACTATTGTTGCCAGGCGCTAATAACTCCTTAACTAACCGACCATAGTAAGATTCAAAACACGAATCTCGTGGTCAGAACATGATCGTTTTAATTATTCAACCAGGCGCACGTGTTGCAGTGGTACGTAGCGAAAAACGTCATTGTCTTTGATATTTTTCTCATTCTGGCATTTTAATCTTCATTCAGACAGTCCAAAACAATGTTGAAATCAGCGAAAGCTAATGATTATTTTGAAGTGTGGCCCACGAATTGTCTCTAATCTTGTTACAGAATGATATTACAGTCCAAAGTGATTGAAAAAAAATTAATTTGTTCTTGTGAGTTAATGGCGTGTTTAAAAGATTAAGTAAGGACAGAAAATATTTCCGCTTTTTTTTTTTTCAATGTGTGAATTAAGAGATTGCGCGAAAGATTGTGATAGTACGATATTTGTTACAATTTTCGTACGCTTCTTTTGGAGCAACGTCCATCACAGACATTGGCCGTAGAACAACTAATCGACAGTCGAGCCAATAGTGTCTGGGCGTGATAAATATCTGATGCAATCACGGATGACGCAATGTTTTTCAAGGTCAAACAAATTTCATCATACACCCCGAAAATAGATTCATGTTGCTGCACACCACTGCAAATGACCTAATCTGAGAAAAAAATAGAATCGATTACACCCTGTCACTCGAGTGGGTCTAAAACTGACCGTATGATGAAAGAAAGGAAACTAAAGCGGTTGTTTCAATTAATTTGTACAAGGGTGTATCTCTAATCTTGTCACACAATGATATTACAGTCCCAAGTGGTTGAAAAAAAAATTAATTTGTTCTTGTGAGTTAATGATTTGTTTTAAAGATTAAATAAAGACAGAAAATATTTCCGCTTTTTTTTTTCAATGTGTGAATTAAGAGAAATGATGGCGCGAAAGATTGTGATTGTACGAGATTTTGATTGTATGAGATTTTGATT